TGGATTTTTGATATAGAAAAAGATTGAAAGATAAAATTCTTTAGTAATATGATTTGCAGCAATCAATTCAAAACACATCAGAACTTTTATAAATAATAATTATATTAACCTATTTTCGTAGTAATTACGTAGTGGTTAATAAAAGATATTATTAACCTGTTAATTTCTCATGAAAAAAAAGAATTTTATTTTTATTGTAAATTGTTCTTATTAGTTTTTTTTATTTAATTTTAATTAAAAAAAAAAAAAAAAAATGTTTTTTTGAGTTATTAAAGGGACTTTTATTTATTTAGATATTAATATTGTTAGTTGAATTGATCTTAGAATAATTAAAAATTAAATTCACATTTTAAAGAAATGCTAAAAATATTTTATTTTTTTTAATATTTAATTTTTATGTATTTTTAAAAGACTTTTAATAACTTTTAACTAATTATTATATCACTTTAAAAGATTTCTTTTACAAGTGATGGACAATTTTAATAAGGATTTAAGTTTTTAATGAAAATATGAAAAAATTTTCATTAAAATAAGTAAACACTTCTGAAACAATAAACGCCTAGCTATTTGTTAATAAGATATTAATAAGCTTATACGAAACAACAAGATCTCATAGAGAAAATAGAAATCCATAGACATTCATTAAATAAAAAAAAAAGGTTAACGATTTTTATTGTTTCATTTATATTTTTCTATAACGATAAATGTTTTTCTAAATTTTATTAGTTTTTCTAATTTTTAAGCTAAAAATAAATAAACGTAAACTTTAAAAAAAAAAGAAGAAGAAGAAGGCTTTTTTATTATTATTATTATTTAATTTTTATATATTTTTAAAAAACAGTAACATTAATTTTATTAATTTATTTTAAACGAATATTTTATGCACAATGAATAATTTTAAAGAAGATTTATATTTTTAATATGAATAAGGACAATTTTTATTAAATTAATAAATTCCTCTAGAAATCATAAATTCTCACCTATTGATTTATCAATTGCTACTTCAACGATTTGACAGAGTATTGAAAAAACAGATTAATAAAGATTTTGTATAGTTCCCTTCACTAATTTAATTAATTTAAATTTAATTTTTAATCTGCAAACCAGTAAAATTTATATAAGTAACCTACTTCAATGAATATTTATTTTTAAGAAATATTTATATACTTTAACCAAAATCCTATACTTTTACTAAAACTTTAAATTCTTATTAATTATCGATATTTAATTAAGCATATCTTATTTATGAAGTTATGAACAATATTTAGATATTCATGTCTTTCTTTTAATAGAAATGAGTAATTATTAGCACACAAAATTAACTTACATAAATAAAACAAACATGAAAAATTGATTAGTGTAAGTATAACGTTTTCTTTTTAAAATGATAATCAAAATTAATTCTTAAAAAAATATATGCATGACAAAAATTAAAATTTAATAACCTAAAATTATTCATCAATTCTTAAAACTAATTATTTCTCCTTCAAAAAAAAAAAAATTTATAAAAAAAAATTGACTAATTTTTTTTTTTTTTTATCCAATGCTTGTATGGATAATTATTATTCTAAAAAAGGTTAATAAAGTCTTTTATTAACCAATTATATAATCTATATATATAAAACATAATTATAGAATATATATTTTCTTAAAATAGTTAAAATTAATAAAATGCATTATACATAGTTTTTATTATTTTGTATGTTTAATACTTGATTTATGATTTTTATATTTCTTATTGAATGACTTGTGGCTAATTAATTGACTGTTCGATAACTTTGCTAGAGTGCTAAACAAATAAATTAGTAAAGTGCATGCAGAGTTGCCTCTACGGATTTAATGAAATTAAATATAATTTTAATGTTGTATGCCAGTAAAGCGTGTTATATATGGTCTACTTCATTGAGCATTTATTAGGTTTTAAGAGGTACTTATTTAATTTAAAAAGAATTGCATTATTCTTATTAAAGACATAAATTCTCATTAATTATTTATTTGTACATACATATATTTTTAATTATATTGTTATAAATAATGTTTAACACTTAATTACATTTTATTAAAATTAACAAACGTACACAATTAATATAATACAAGCTAAAATTATATAAATAGTAAACACATGAAATTTTTATTATACTTCTTTTCTTAAATTATCTCTTTAAAATTAATAATGTAAATTCCATACAAAAGAAACTCTTTTGTCAAAAAGAAAAAAAATACTTATATATTTTTTTTTTTTTTTTCTTTTTTTCTTTTCAACCTTTTTTTTTTTTTTATCTGACGCCTGTAAGGCTATTTATTTTCCATATAGCTATCACATTTTATCCTCAAAAAGGTTAATAATCCTTTTTATTAATCATTCTGCTATTATACTGAACAGATTAATAAAGAGCATGTAGAGTTAACTTTACTAGTTTAATGAATTTAAGTTTAATTTTAATGCTATAAACCAGTAAACTGTTTTATATATAGTTTATTTCATTGACAACTTATTGTTCTTAAAAGACATTAATTTAATAAAAACCATGTATTTTTATTAAAAATTTAAATTCTTATTAATTATCGATTTAAATTACATATACTTATAACATTATGAGTAATATTTAGCAACATAAATTCATTGATCTTAAATTAAAAAAATAATTAATTAACCCCAATTCAAAATAAATTATTTGAATTCTACAGAGCATTAAAATTTTATTATTTTTGATATAAAATTAACTTATAAAAATTCGAACGAAAATTCATTACAAAGAAACTTTTTATCGAACAACGTTTCTTCTATTTTTCCTCT